TGAACTAAACTATATATAACTATATAACATGTTAATTTGAACTGTAAATAGTATTCTATAATAATAATAATAATTTTTCTAATTTAGAAATTTTTCAGTGATCGACTTGCGCCGCATCAAAGAAATTAGCTCGACTGAATTAGCTAGCTGACTATGCGCCAGCACATCCTAGTCAGCTTGAAACACTACTTACATAGTATCCCTCTGGATATTATTCAAGTTAGTCTGGAATTTCTTGAGACCGGAGATACTGTAGTAAGCACTCTACAATATAATAAGAAAAAACATATATTTTTAAATAAATCTTTATATCAAGACTTTACTATATATCTTTATTACATCAAGAGAAATTTATTAAGCTTGGTTTTGAACGAAAAATTCTTTACTATAATGCAATCTTTACTATACCAAGGCTGACTTGTATATTGAAATCATCATTCATTATCTATGATATTATTATATACCTTCAACTTTTTTATTATTAGATGTGATTAACATTTACTTTTCACGGCGGATTCTTATTTACAATAGAAATCCACTTCATGTTCATTGGCTAAATTAATGAGTTAATATGAGTTATTAGCCAATAGGTTAAGGCAAGATTGCATTAACATCAGATTGTTATCTTCACTTTACTATTTGAACAGTTAATTCACCCCCACCACCCGCTGCTAAACAACCACCATCATGCACATTAGCATTTCCTATATGCAAGAGTGGTCCTAATCGTTGATACACATGTGTTAACACCACTTGTTCATTGGCATCTGGCCTCACATGTATACATAGTGTACCAACTAGCTGGTTGTATGAATTTTGCCATACATGAACGGCAATTATTCTCAATATCGATGGATCATGTTGAATCTTTACGTATTTATATGATAAATTGATCTTAGTGATGATATGAATTGAGAATAAGTAGACATGAATTTTCTTTACCTCTCTTAAACATGCTTCTAAATTCGGTGAAATTGTGTCTGGGGTTGTCTGCAACAATATTTTTCCCAGTAATGTTGCAACAGGCTTGGCAATTAAAAACATTAAAATAGATTCTAATAATGAAAGAATAACGTCTAACCAACCCAACGTCGGACTAAGTAAAAAAGATGATCAATAAGAGCGTAAAAAGGAATTTATAAGATAATAAACAAAAAGTTTTACATACTTCTTTTCGGCAATTAATCCAGCAGCGACAACACTTATGCCACAGCCTAATGTGAGCATAGTGAAATAATTGGAAAACACTGACGATAATATGTCATTTTTTGGTTGATAGTTTGAATACGAGTTTTTTCGTAACACTAATAAAAAATGAGTTAATATGGATTTATAATAATGATTTTCCTGAATTATTGTATACTGTATATAAAAGACCAACCTTCACAAAAATCTTGATGATTTTGATAAAACATAGAAGATATTAGAGTAGCTCCTATTGAGCTTAACACCAAAAAAAAAGGAAACGCTGAACTAAGCAATAGAAATAAATCAGATGGTCATTATAATTTTTTAAAATAATCAAATGTGGCAATTTTCATAACTCGTTACATTACCTTCCTTCATCATAATGTTCTTGACTAGTTTCCAACATTAGATGCTCTAAGCTCTCTTTCATGGTATACATCGCTACAAATAGTAAATAGATGATGCTCATAAAACCAAATAAGACTTCATATCGTTGAACTCTAATAAAAAAAAATACTTTGTCAATTACGTTCATCAAAGTCGAGGGAAAAAAGTCAAAAAGGTGCCTTACCCAAATGGATGTCGTAAGGTGGAAACTTGTAATGATCGATAAGTTAAAATAACGGCAGAAATAAATTTCGCGAATACACCCAATGCATCGAATATTACCAGATATCCAAAGCCTAGGAGTGCTTTTGAAAGATTGAAAGCACTTCAGGTAAATATAATTGCTTAGTAAATTTCAGTGATCTCTGCATAATCTAATATCTTCCTCGAGTTATTTGATATTTAGATAATGAATGAACATGCATTGTCAAAGATTAAAGAGTTTTCTCAACTCAGCCATTGGTAATTAATTAGACGAGAAACCAATGAATGTTGATAATAAGTGAAGTCGTGTCAATTACCGTAAATTTCTAATAAATTCAGCTATTTGATTCATTCATTATCTAAACCAATTAACCATAAGAATAATATGAAAACTTTTTCAATTCGGGGGAAACATATTGAAGGAATTATTCTTAGATAGCCCAAGCTTACCCAGCCTATCGCCCCGTTGTCCCTTTAACCATAAAGCTATGCCTAATATTAAATGCACACATGCCCAGGTAAATAAAGTCTTTTGTGAAGAGTGTAGATTAGAAAAAATATGAGATATTGAAGGCAAAGGTTTCGAGATAAAAGTATCATGCTCGTGGTTGTGGTGTCGATAAGATTTGTGATTATGTTCTTTTTCAAGTTCATGATGTTGTTCTGAGACACATCCAATGTGGTGGTTTCCAGGTTCGTGATTATGTTCATGATCATTTTCTGAGGTGTGCTCATGATGATGGTGTCCGAATTTTCGGTTATTGGAATTAACATGGACCTGATCGTGTATGGAAGAACCATGTGTCTCAATATGCTTTTCAGCACCCGCATCAGGCAATTCAAGACTTGGTGATATATATTCTGCATTTTCAGAATCTTGAACGAAAGTCGTTCCTAAATTTACAAAGTCATCTTCGGAGCCAACATTAGGAAAAGCTTTAAATGAGGTACTTGAAGCTGAACGTTTAAGAGTAGAAGTAAGGGGAATTAAATGCGCCGAGTTTGGGTGTAAACTTCCAGTTGTGGGTGAAACTGGGCGCCGAAAACGAGGAGTAGTTGAGCCTGTTATATCGGGACGTAGTTCTGTCCTATCTGATGTTAGTTGTGGGGAGTCCATTACATGTAGGAAATTTTGCAAGCGAAGTGAAAATGTACATGAAAATCTGACCTACATTATGTCACAATGCGTTTATTTTTCGGTGCAGTTACTTGGATGCGCCACCGCAGAGTCGACTCGCGGCATGTCGATCCATAAAAAATCACATTCATTGGTCACATTATATAAATTTACGGCTAGGATCATTTATTACCCAAAAATAGAATTACCTTTACATAATCCGTAGCTCGTTTACAGTACCCGGGTCTTATAGCTATTTTTTAAATTGAATAGTACCCCCGGATACTGTGTATAGAACCGGGTACTATTTTTGGGAGGATATATTATAAGAGGGGTATTATATTATTTATAGAAAATATAAACGCGTAAGATTTACAAACGCGAACTTTTTTTGTATCCATGATACTCACTACATGAACGTGGTCAAACACAAAATTTAATACAAACGCAATTAAATGGATATAGCCTATGGACAGCAGCAAGAAAATATGAAATTGAATCAAAACAACTTCATGATTGGAAAAAAAAGAAGAATAACTTAATTTGTATAGCTTCTTATATTCAACAGCTCAATATTGATGCATGTTCCAAGTATTTAGAATTGGAAGAACTTTCTTGAATAGTTTCATGAATTATAACAATAATTAAAAACTGTAATTCAGTATATAATCATAGCAAAAGTTCACAATTTAGTTCAAAAATAACAATATATTATCTTATATTCAATTATTTAAAAATATTAATTTTCATAAAAATGAGTAAATGATTTTATGTCATGATATTTATTGATGAATTATTAATATATTACAATTATATAATAATTATTTGAAAAATATCTTAAAGAATAATAAAATTTTTTATCATTTATTCTTTATTAATAAATTGAATATAATTATTCTTTTAAAATTAATTGGAAATATAGATGAAACTTCTATAGTATTTAATTTATTAAGTTTAATAATTATTAAAAAACATGAAATAAAAATTATTTTTCTTCTTATTATAAATCATAAATATACTTATTTTACAATAACTCTTGCCTATTTTGTGAATAATATAAAACTCTTTTCTTTAATTATTTTTAAATTAGTTAAAGTATTATGAGAATAATTTTATTTGTTCATGCAAATTCAAATAAATAAATAAATAAAAAAGAGATATTTTGATAAGTAAAAAATATGTGAAATTAATAAGTTAATTCAGATTTAAATTTAAATTCACATTTTCTTCTTATTCTGAATTTATTTATTAATTATAAAATAAATATAGTAAAATATTATTTATATGAGAAAAATATTAATATAATTATTATTTTAAATAAATTAATTTTATATTTATAATTATTAGATATATCTTTGAATAAAGTATTCAAGTAAAAATTAATTTAAATAATATTTTATTTTTTAAATATATTTTTATAATATTCTATCAATAAATTTGACATATTTATAATTGATAAATAGATAAAATTATTAAAAAATATATATCAACAGATAAAATCAAGTAACCAGCATACTTGCTTGTAGCAAATTGAATTAAAAAAGCTTGATTTAGCAATGATTCAATGATCTTTAAATATGAAATCAGTATTAAAGAAGAAGAAAAAAATAAAAATAATAATTTGAAAGATATCAAAGCTGATTTAGAATACTATGAACGAGAAAATTATATCAATATTTGGAATTAGTCATTTTTAATAACGAATATAATAAAAGACTTCAACAATGAGAAAAAGTTTTATCTGTGACTATGTATAAAAAATCACACTTTGTATCCGGATACTAACCAAAATTAGTTAAGATCGACTTTGAATAGTACCCGGGTATTATTCAAGATTACACTATCCAAAGGTGGTAAAAAGTATCCCGGGTCTTAATCATGGGGGGGGTATTATATTTTGGGGGTACTGTAAGCAGTGCGATACCGGTACTAATCATTCTGAAAAAAAAAATACAAATTTAATTTTCCACACAATATAATATAATATTATTCCTTCACTATAATAAAATAATAAAACTCTTCCAAATACCAATTTATGTAAGATTAATTGATACGGTTAAAAAACAAAAAATGGACGAAATTAACAAACTCGAGTACCTCTCTCTAGTCTCAAAAATCACTAGTGAGTTGTTAAACCACACTGGGTTCAATGATAAAACATTAGGTATTCATTTCGATCAAAGTTTATTCTTCATTTAGATCGTTTAGAGAAATCTTTACTGACATCCGAAAACTCCCTTTTATAGCCGAGTTTGTAATCAATCTTCACGAAGAAAACAGCTCGTTGCCAGATTTCAAAAAAGCACTATGTGATGCTGGCGCCGAGTTTCCAGAATCGTTTATTCAGACACTTGACCGTCTAATCCGTAAAATGCATCCAAAATACAAAAAAGGTAAAGGAAAAAGCAAGGAAACTGACAACAATGAGGATAGTTATAGATATGATCCTGACCAGAAGGCGGCTTTGTTTCCGGGGCTAGCATTACCTGATGATCATGATTGGGTAAGTAAGTAGAATCTAAAAATTTCAAAGCCCAAAATCTTTGTTTTGCCTAAAAACAATTGATTGAATGAATTATCTTTCTTTAAATTTGAAGAAAAGAAAACAAGAAGATCTCAAGGCAAAAGATGCACAGATACAAAACTTACTTGATACGAAAAAAAAGGAAGCGATAAGCGGACGCAGTTCTAGAAATAGTAACCTCTATAATGTAAGTGGTAGTAGTAGTAGCAACTCACGTAAACGAAAAAATAGTCGAAGTAGAAGTCGAAGTCCTATTATATCTACAGCCCCTACTACTGTTCCTACTACATCTAGTAGAGGCCGATCTCCTATACCAAAACGTAGAAGATCACCATCTTTAGGAAAACCGCCAATTGCCGATGATGACGACAAGAAAGCACCCAGCAGTCTTAATCGTCTTTCGTCTCCGGAACGATGGGAAATTAAACAACTTATCGCTTCGGGTGTATTCAAAGCCTCAGATTATCCTAATATTGATGAAGAGCATGGATTCATAGAAAGTATGGAAACGGAAGAAGAACTTGATATTGAGATTCGAGAAGAAGAACCACCGTTTTTGAGAGGACAGACGAAACATACAATGCAGTTGAGCCCTATTAAAGTTGTTAAAGCTCCTGATGGTACGTTAAATCGAGCGGCTATGGCTGGTGCTTCATTGGCTAAGGAGCGAAGAGAATTAAGGTAAACTTGATGTTATATTAATAGTATTGCTAGTTTTCTCTTATTTTATTATATTAACCACTATAATTTAAAAAATAGGCAGCAACAAGCAAATGCTGAATTGGATTCTGTTCCCAAAGATTTAAATCTACCTTGGCTTGATCCTATGCATGATCCCGGCGAACGACATTTTGCTCAGGATCTAAGAGGAGTTGCTGCTGGTCGTAAAGCAGGCGAAGTACCCGAATGGAAGAGAGAAACCTTTAATAAAGCTACAAGTTTTGGGAAGATAACAAATTTGACTATACGAGAACAAAAAGAAAGTCTACCAATTTTCAAATTTAGAGAAAAACTGATACGTGCAGTGAGAGAGGTACGTTAACTAGCTTTGATTTAATTTAATAAATTTTTTTGGGTATATCATGTATTTTGTTAACTTTAGTACTATTTATAATTATTTATTATAGAATCAACAACTGATTCTTATTGGTGACACTGGTTCTGGTAAGACCACGCAATTGACCCAATATCTCGCTGAGGAAGGGTTCGCTGATCGTGGCAAAATTGGGTGCACTCAACCTCGTCGTGTTGCCGCAATGTCAGTAGCAAAACGTGTTGCGGAAGAAGTGGGTTGTCGTCTTGGTTCAGAAGTTGGATATACAATCCGTTTCGAAGATTGTACTAGTCCCGAAACTAAAATCAAGTATATGACGGACGGTATGCTTCTTCGTGAATGCTTGATCGATAACACGCTTTCTCAGTATTCGCTTATTATTCTTGATGAAGCTCACGAAAGAACAATACATACGGATGTACTTTTTGGGTTGCTAAAAAGTAAGTTATAAATACATGTTTAATTGCTCAAAAGAAATACTTTTTTGCGAATTAATTAAATTATTTTCTTTAATTTTAGAAACTTTGAAAAAACGACCAGATTTCCGAGTAATTGTCACTTCGGCAACTCTCGACGCTGAAAAGTTTTCTGCATACTTTTTCGATTGTCCAATCTTTACGATCCCAGGTCGGCCACATCCTGTCGAAGTACTTTACACCAAAGAACCAGAATCTGATTATCTGGATGCAGCACTAATAGTAGTCATGCAGATACATCTTTCTGAACCGCCGGGTGATATTCTATTGTTTCTTACCGGTCAAGAAGAAATTGATACTGCGGCCGAAATTCTGTATGAGCGTATGAAAGCTCTAGGTCCGCAAGTACCCGATCTTATTATATTGCCGGTATATTCTGCGTTGCCAAGTGAAATGCAATCACGTATTTTTGAGCCAGCGCCGCCGGGTAGTCGTAAAGTTGTCATTGCGACTAATATTGCTGAAACTTCTATAACAATTGATGGAATTTATTATGTGGTGGATCCTGGATTTGTCAAACAAAATGCATATGATGCCAAAGTTGGTATGGACTCGTTGATCGTGACGGTATGTATTTATTTTTTATATTTAATGAATTTCATTAGAATTTCTTCTAAGTCATATTTTGTTCGTTTATAGCCTATTTCTCAAGCTCAAGCTCGTCAACGTGCAGGCCGTGCAGGACGTACTGGACCTGGAAAGTAAGTATTAATTGTGGTTATTTATTTATTTATTTTGATATGTTGTCAAGATAATTTATCATAATTTCCTTTTTTGCAGATGTTATCGATTGTATACAGAAGCTGCATATCGTAATGAAATGCTTCCAAATCCGGTGCCTGAAATACAACGAACAAATTTAGCCAACATTGTCTTAACACTCAAAGCAATGGGAATCAATGATCTACTGCACTTCGACTTCATGGACCCGCCTCCGGTTCAAACACTACTAACAGCTCTCGAGCAGCTTTATGCTCTTTCCGCGCTAGACGATGAAGGTCTCTTGACAAAATTAGGACGAAAGATGGCTGAGTTCCCACTTGAGCCACCCCTCTCCAAAATGTTAATCGAGTCCGTAGATCTGGGATGTTCCGAAGAAATATTAACGATTGTCGCCATGTTATCAGTTCAAAATGTCTTCTATCGACCAAAGGAAAAACAAGCAGCCGCCGACCAAAAGAAAGCGAGATTCCATCAGCCAGAAGGTGATCATTTGACTCTTCTC